CCCACAACAGACTTACCAGCTGAAGGCTGCTCTCTATGCTGCCGGCTTGCTCAGTCACCTACGTGCTGTGCTGTGGCTGCGCGCACATGCAAGGCATTTATCAGCAACATTAATCAGCCACATCAGCCCAAAAAAGCCGATTGCCGATAATGTCAATTTTCCTTGTACTGGTACTGATACAAAATGGGACTGATGTATCAGTGCACTTCTTTTTCATTTTATGGGAAATAACCAAAATCTTAGCCAAAGAGATTTCCGTGCAACTTATGCTACTACGAAAAGAACTCAAGTTGGGTTTTTTTGTTTCATAGACAATTTCATAGATTTCACTGTTTGTTTGGTTTGGTCTTTACCTTTTTATGAAAATTTCTGCTGCTTCTAAAGGGACATCTGGAATTTCAGTCTCTCTCTCAGACAATTTTGAAGATGTAATATCACCATTATTAATGTTTATTAGAATTAAATCTTCAGCTTCCTTTAAGAAAAAAAACCCATTCATGATTAAATATAAATAAATTTTGAACAAACATTTCTCTAGGTAGAATTATTCTAGCAGATATAATTACCCATTTTAAACCTGGCCCAGTGGAAATTCTGGACAATTAAATACTCCGTTTGAATGCAAATGAAGTCTGACATTAACATATTAGGATTAAAATACAAAAGATTTGGAGATCTAATATTCTCTCCAGCTAATATTAATTAAAGTCAATTCTATAAATCTTTGCGCATGAATGTATGCATGTAAAATAACTACCTTTTTTTTTTTGTCTCCTAAGACTACAGACTTATACTCTCTGGAGAAATAAACCTAGTATGGTAATAACTGAAAAACACAGTTTAATGAAGACCTTAATTTCAGAGAGATTTAAAGTTCTGTATTGACACCCATTTGCAAAATCTACACCATTCAAATTATAACCTATCTAAAAAAAATCTTTAGAAACCACACAAGTGTAATAGTAATTTCTTTAAATTGTACTTGTGATACACCACCCCATATCACAGGGGTGGGCAAAATGCAGCCCGCGGGCCAGATGCAGCCCGCCAAACCATTCTATCTGGCCCGTGGGGCCCCTGAAAATTTTAGAAAATAAATATTAATCTGCCCTGGCTGCCTGTCATGCGGCCCTCGATGGCTTGCCAAAACTCAGTAAGCGGCCCTCCGCTTGCAAAATAATTGCCTGCCCCTGCCATATCATCTAGGCCATGGGTTCCCAAAGTTTTGCCCCTGAAAGACCATTTCAAAGGGACAGTCCTGGGTGGCAGGCCACATCAAAAGGGGATTACAAGCTGCATTTGTCCCATGTTTTGGGAATCTCTAATCTAAAATGATGATGGGTTCTTGTCTCCGATTCCCAGCACCACTGGTATATTTTACATTATAAAGGTCATATTTTTCCTCCCAGGCAGGTTCCGTTTAGAACATTCTCCGGGGAAACAGAAGATCTAGTTTCAGATGGAATAGCACTTAAGTTTAGATACATTTATGTGGCATATCTGACCACCTTCCCAACAAAGCCTCAGACAGCTTACAGGGAAAGAAAAGAACAACTTGTTAAATAGAATAGCAACAAGCGAATGAAATAACTTAAAAGGGGAACTACAATATCAACATAAAACCTACTAAACAGTATCAACCTAGCTTTGCTTGTTAAATGCCTGCTGAAACAGGAAGGTCTTACAGTGCTTACTTATTGAGACAACTTAAGCCCTGCCCTTAAACAAACTTTTATAAACAGGAACAGCCCACAGACCTCAAACGGATGATTCATGTGTATACATTATTTGAGCATGTGAGCTAGCAGGACTGGAACCTAAATCTAATCTTACGTAATGCACTAGGGTCATTACCAGACAATCTTGGAAAGTGAAAGGATTTCAGAATAAGCATATTGAATAACTTGCTGAAGTACATATACCTCATAATGGTCTTATTTGTATATGCTTGCTTCTTGTAGACAACATAGCGGAAGTAAGGTTTTAGGTGGGATCCAAATGCAGCACAGGAAGCAACTTGGTGAACATGCATGGAGGAAAAGGAACAGAGGCTGCTTGCAGACATTTAAAAAAGCCCACCAGCACTTTACTTCAAACTCCGCATGCTCCCGCACCGAGCCCAGCACATGCCCAGAAGAGGCAGTATGTTATAGCTGAACTCAGCTTGCCCAACGTTGGTACAGATCGGGCGCTTTAGTGGGGCTTTTTTGGTGCTTTATCTAATAGCCGATTGACTCAGCTATTAGATAAAGCACCAAAAGCCCTGCTGAAGGGTCTGACTTATACAGATGCTGCAGAGCCAGGTCCAAGTAATACGCTGCTTCTTCTGGTAAAGCGTGGTGGTTTGTTTGTTTGGGGGGGTTTGGTTTGTTTTTTTTTAATGTCTCTAAGCAGCCAGAAAAAATTAGGTGCGCTAAGGGACATACCTTGCTAACTTCTTCAAAGTGATCCACATGACATCCCATGAGAAAAGATGTTGGAGCCATTACAAAGTCCAGCATTTGATGCGACAGTATAGGTACAAAAGTGTGTTGCCACTGAAGAGGATGAAGGTACAACATAAAACATTCAGCTACAAGAGTTAGCAGGGCCCAATCAGAGGAAAAGAAAACAATCCTCTGCTCGGTTAGGATGCAGGTCATAACCTGGAAATAACAAAAAATAATGGATGTTATAATCCTACCTAGTACATAGAGACCTTTATTTGCTGGAATTTGCTCTAAAATGTTTTACATAACAAAGAATCAAGTCTCAACCTCGCAAGGCCAGTGTTTTAATAGCTATTTTATATAATATCCAAACAAAAGCAAGTTAAAGGATTCTTAAACAGCAAACAGGATTCTGGGAACAGAAAGCAGGGATACAACACTGGTTCTAAGAAGGTCAATGAAAGTTCTGCTACTGCCTTTGATGGAGCCAGGGTTTATTTTCAGGATTCCCTGCTCTAGCCTGCAAGAGGCCTTTATAACATTCAGATTAGGAATAAAAGCAAAATCAATTTGCATAGATGTAATTACCCAAAAGTATGCAGTTCCAGGTGCACCAAGCAGGAAATAAGCCTGAATAAGTTTTTCAAGTCTTTGTCTATGCACAGTATATGTCCATAGAAAGGGTAGAGTAAGGGGGGATAGCTAAAAATATATGCCAGCACATTCTATTTTCAAAACTGAGATACCAGAAACATAGCTGGTGATGATAAAGTTAACTGCAAGCAAAAAGGCATAGATGAAAGATCTCCAGTCTTCTGTCCAAAAGAGGAAGCAACTGAGGGGCACTACTGAAACATTAAGAAAATAAGAGGAGCTGTTTCAGGATATTATCTTGCCTGTCCACATCAACCACAGGGGACTAAAAATATGGGCATCACCAGTGTCGATAGCCAAAATGAAGTGGTATTTAAAAAAAATTCAAGCTCCCACATTTATGAAAAATGCAGCCTACTACCTTCACCAACATTATCACGCTAGCTCCAATTACAGAATGAACTGTACATGTATATCTATCATTTAGTGTAGGAGTTTATATTTTAAAAATAAACACTTTAAAGAAATGTAGCAGCCATGAACAAGAAGAGGAAAAATGAAATCTTCACAGATTCTGTTAAAAGATTTTATTTATTTATTTTTTTACCTGTAGCACCTGTTTTGGTTTGAAACACAGCAATGGAAGATGAAGATCCAAATCAATAATTGGGCTATCTGGATCCTCCCGTGATGGAATTATTATCTGGAGTGGTTTCATATTAAATATCTGTGGCAACAGATTTTTTCAGTTAACTCTTTATTGCAAATATATTCTCATAGCATATGCAATTTTAAATTCCAGTTCCAACTACAAAAGAAATAAATAAATCAAAGCTGGTGTCAGGAAAAAAAGGCAGGTAGGTGTATAAAACAAAATCTAAAACGTCAGCTGCATGCAGAAAAGCATAACAAGGTCTACAAAGATAATTATGGACTATGTGTTTCCACTTTCTGTGAAGTAAAATGTTTTTAATAACAAAACCAAGATAAAAATTGAGTACATGAAATACATTAGATGCATTTAAATAATAAAAATCAACTGGATGACGATCGATATCCTTTTTGCAACATGGAAGTTAGAAAAGTACTGCAAAAAAACAAACAAAAACAAGGAAAAAACCAATCCCTGTATTAAGATGCCTAAATATGAAGAACACGACTAAAAAGAACCAGACAAAACTGATTAATTTCATTTTTCTAGTTTGGTGGGTGGGCAAAATATGGTCCACAGGCCGAACTGGGCCCACCAACTGGTTGGATCTGGCCCGTGGCTAGGCCCACAGTGCTCCACATTGGGTTGAGCCCTACCCACTCCCTCCGGGGCAGCCCACGCCACACCCCCGCCAGCATGCAGCTTCCAGCAGGGCTGTTCCCAGTCTGGCCGCAGCTAGCCAAATGCTCTTCTGCTCCGCCAACCTCCAGCAGGAGCAGCCAGACTGGAGCTCTCCTGCCTGACCACCCGCCTGGAAGAGTGCAGCAAGGGCAGCAGCGGGAGGAAGCATGGCCACTGGAAGCAAGGGGAGCACAGCAGCACCTAGCCTGCTACACCTGCACCAGGAACAGCCCCACCCGAAACTGCATGCTGACCCAGGCTGGAGCGGGGGCTGGGGAAGATGTTCTGCTCCCCTTGCCTCCAGCTGTGGCTGGGGCTCCTCCCG